AGGGTTCCGTCACCCTCACCGTGAAGAAGTTTCTTCTCATATTTGAGTGGAACCTCTTATGTTCCAACTTGTGCCCGTTGCCCCTCGTCCTCTCGGTGGGAACCACTGAAAAGAGTCTGGCTCCCTCCTCCTTCAACCCTCCCTTGAGATACTTGTAGGCGTTGATAAGGTCTCCCCTCAGCCTTCTCTTCTCCAGACTAAAGAGTCCCAGCTCTCTCAGTCTCTCCTCATAAGGGAGATGCTCCAATCCCTGAATCATCTTTGTAGCCCTACGCTGGACTCTTTCTAGTAGTTCCCTGTCCCTCTTGAACTGGGGAGCCCAGAACTGGACACAGTACTCCAGCTGTGGCCTCACCAGTGCAGAGTAGAGGGGGAGAATGACTTCCCTTGACCTGCTGGCTACACTCTTCCCTATACGACTCTTTGATTCTATAACAGGCTGGTTTTTCACTTTACAACCTGAAGTTTTGTCTTGTGAAAGCATTTAGCTCCCAACGGTGGTGTAGGACCCACTGATCTCGCAGTGTTTAAAAACAGGTGGATTTTTACAATGAGATGGGGGCAGAAACGCCAGTGGTCACTTTATAGAAGAGGTCTTCTGCAACACATTGTTATGGAATCATAGAGTCACAGAATGGTTAGAGTTGGAGGGGACCTTAAAGATCATCCAGTTCCAACTCCCCTGCCCTGGGCAGGGACACCTCCCACTAGAGCAGGTTGCTCAAAGCCCCATCCAGCCTGGTCTTGTTCTTCCAGGTAATGCACTCAGAGGAGAAATAAAAGGTGGAGGAAAGTGGTGTTCCTCACAGATGATAGCACAGACCAGGTCCTCAGCTCTCAGGGTGAAAGATGAAGGTTTTCTGCAAAATTCTACAAAACTGGCAGTGGGTTGGCAGGACAGCACGAGAGACACCCTTAAATTGTGAATGCTGGTGGTGGCCATGGGTGGCCGTGGAAGATCCCTGGCATCGAGACCTGGGTCCACCTTCCTCTTGCAGTTCCACAGCAGGGTGGCCCATAGCATCTCCAGAACCTCTTCCTCCTCCTTCCCAGGCATGCCTCTTCTGGCTTCCCACAGCCAGGGCCTGTCCTTTACACACGAAGGACGAGCAATGTTTTAACTCAGTTCAGTTACGTGTTGAAAGAAAGCTCTGTGGGTCGAGAAGAAAATGCTTAGTTTCCTTTTGCAAAAATCAAATGGGTTGACTGCACAAAGCAACATCAAAGATGAGTTTGTTCTCTGGCTTTTACCTTGTGTCTAATTCAAAATAAAATGTCATTACATAATAGCCTTCTTCAGCGAACATATTCTTTCAGAATAATAAGGTGATAAGATGACGGCATTCCCTGGAAACACTTTGATTTTTTTTTTTTTTCTGCAGATAAACTTATTTCTTTCACCTGCCTTTGGTGTTCATTATGCTCTGCTCCCATTTATCTCTGCTCCCTCGTTACCTGCCTGGGTGAGGAAGGCGGCTGCTCCTCTTCTACAGGGCATGTGAAGATGAAAGAAGGCGACTTTATTTCTTTACAGCTTCCCAGGGTGCTCTCATGGAGGTGACAGCTTCCTCACGTCCCCAGCCGCAGGGTTTCATGCCTGCACTTCCCACCTCATAATCAATATATTTCTCAGGATTCCGCCTGCCATTAGCGGGGGGAGAAGGCTTTGAATCCTCCCCTGGCATGGCAGGTTTTGCCCGATGGGGTGGTTCTGGCCGACGGGACGGGCCAGTGGCCACACGGAGAAGCCACCCAGGACCAGCTGGAGCCGAGGGCCTGTCCCATGCCAGCCATTGGTAACAGGTGTCTGGAGTGATGCCACAGCAGCTAAGCAGAGGTTTAGGCTGAAAAATAAGGATTTAAGCCTTGAGTATGAATTGCCAGCTCTAAATGTGTTCTCCTGACTAACAAGCCAGGAAATTGGGTGTCGCACGGAACTGCTCGGCTGCTCAAAACCTGCCCACCTCCCTTTTTATGTGGATGCCTTTTTTGCAGGGCAAGAAACACCAGCAGAAAAACACAGCTACGGCCAGAAACCCTTGAAAATGAGGAAGAAAAAGCCCATCGGTCCCGCTGCTGGGCACGGCAGAGCAGGAACATGGCCCTTGGCCACGGAGGGGTTAAGTTTTCACGTGGGGTGTACGAGGACATTTCCAGGATCATTTTCACCCCGATGCCCTGGAACAGGTCACCAAAGGTTAACACAAAGTTATTGGAAGTGCCCCCGTGAGCTACGTGTGCCACCGGGGGGGCGTCCAGAACACAACCAGGCGGAGACAGGTATTTATAGCTGCTGAAGAAACACGAGATTTGAGGAAGGGCTCCTGCCCCGCGGGTTCTGATTTTAAGTTCATCCACATTGCTGTAAAAATTGTTAATATTTTAATAGAATTACTGCTGAGTTACACCCTTCTTGGGTCAAAATCAGGACTGAGGAGTTCCGTTCATGGCTCCCCTGCAGGCGGTCACCGCAGTCCCTGGAGGGTTAGGATTTCATACTTGGCATTGCACGCTGGACGTCTCACCCACGTGCAAGGAAGCACTTTGCACTGGGTCTACAAGGAGACACTTCACCCTGGGAGATGCAGGAATTCCCACTCAGCCACCACACACCGAACAACAACAAAAAAAAGCCCTTTACTAACAATTGCCACCAGGTGCAAAGAGGTCCTCATCAGAACATGGGTGCCCCAGAAGCACATCTGCCTTAAATATCACGTTAAACCGAAGTTACACACTAGAAATAGTATTTTTATAATTCATCCTGGGTTTGTTTCTGATTTTACACTCAGGCAGAATGCCCACTGGGCGCACTGTGGGCTGTATAAATCTTCCACTGATAAACAACAAACCTAAATTGTTTATGGAGCGTGAAACAATCGTCTTTTGACTCCACCTGATGCTGCTGAGCAAGCTGTTCCTTTTTATCGCGCTATTATTAGCTGGGAACACAGTGGGCCGGGCAGCATCCCTCATTAATGGATGGAATAACCCAGTCTGTGCAGCACGTAGCTCCATCTCCAGACCATCTAACCAAAGCCCGGTGCAGGAGACCCTGATAAATAAACACAGGTGAATGAATTCATAGAATCATCGAATCGTCTAGGTTGGAAGGGACCTTAAAGATCATCTAGTCCAACCATAACCCAACACTCATAACACCCATCACTAAACCATGTCTCTAAGCACTATGTCAACCCGGCTTTGGAATACCTCCAGGGATGGTGCCTCAACCACTGCCCTGGGCAGCCCATTCCAAGGCTTAAAAACCCTTTCCATGTAAATTTTTTTCCTAATATCCAAACTGACCCTCCCCTGGCGCAACTTGAGGCCATTTCCTCTTGTCCCATCGCCTGAATTAATCATTTAGAAAAGCAAACTGAGGTTTCTCAAACAGTTTTGGGGATGTTCTAACCACTACTTAAGACTTGGGGATATAAATTGTTGCTGTATATACGTATGGCTCTCGTTTCAGTTCTCTACACAGATAACGTCTCCACACAGTTGCTTAACACAAAATGTGAAATTCAAGCCAAGCTGCAGTCTCGGTGATGAGAAACGAGGGGTAAAACACCCTTTGTGTTTTGAGTAGAACAGCAGTGGTTCTGGAAAGCCCACGTGGACCCTGCAGAGACTTGGCCAGACAACCACATCCCAAGGAAGCCTCCGAAACACGTTGCTAAAAACGGCACGGAGGGATCTTAAAGGCATCTGTCCAGGAAAGTGAAGAAAATAACGTTTTTTGGCAGTGAGCACCGATAAAACCGCGCAGAGACTACCATAAATTAAAAGGAAGAGAAAACACAGGTCCCATCCTCCGGCTGGACTCCGACAAGCCCTGCCCTGTTGTCACAGCACGTTGCAGAGCGTGGGGATGGACAAATGCTGGGGTGGTGCTACAGTGACATCCCGTTGGTATTCTGTCCTACACGGAGAGGTATCGATACTCTATTGGCGTTTCTGGTACACTAATTACCCACTCATCCTTCTCCCCCTCCCTCCATACACTCATATTCCTATTAATTTGGGCTCCGTGGACGTCACGGCCGGTTCTTCAGCCGCAGCTTCCCCATCCCCATGGAAAGGCACATCCCCTTGCTCTTGCAACCCTTCCCATCCCGGCACAGCGATGCCTGAGCACCAAAAAGTCAGCTTTTACAGTATTTTCCACCCCTCGTTGTTTTGCATTTATGTTTTCCATTATCTTCCTGTTTTAAAAGAGTAGGACAGGCATATCTGTCACTCTGCAACCAGCAGAAGGGAAGCGGTGCCAAATCACAGCTCTGACACCTAAAAGCAACTTAATAAAATTCCCACTTTAAAAGTTGGAAGAATCAAGCAGTGAAATATTGCGTTAACTACAAACTGCAGCTGCTAAAAGGCTCCGTCTCAGAGGCAGAAGCGAGAGCGTTTCGGCAACGTTAGGAAATTTTCAGAGGCGTTTTCTGACACGTGAGGAAGGACAATGGAACGGTAGTAGGAAAAGCTAAATAAAACAGAAGGAGCTGGGGAAACGCACATGCAGAATGAAAATATGGAAATAAAAGAGTACTTAACGCTGTGTTTGCTGGGGGAGTGCCACACGCAGACCGCTGGATGGGATTTAAACAAAAAAAAACCCATAAAATTTAAAAATATTTTAAAAAATAATTGTGGTTCAGGATAAAGGCGTTCGTGACACAATGGGGCCGGGAAGAGGCGCCAATTAAGGCAGCATACCTACGGTGCGGTGCCGGGAGCACCGGGCACGGTGCGCGGTAACCGAGCGATACCGCGCTTTTTATATTGAAAAATATAAAATAAAGCCCCCATCCCAAACGCGTGCTGTTCGCCCGGTTCCCCCGGGGTTTTTTTTGGGGGGTGGGAAAGGGGTCTGCGTTCTCCCCTGCCCCGCGGCTCGGGGTAATTACCGCTAATGAGGGTAACGACCCCAAGGCTGCGCCCTCGCC